TTAAAAAAAATGATTCAGAGGTAATTATTTTATATTATTTTTTAGTACAATCTTATATATCATTTAAATGTTTAATTTTTTTATTCATTTAAACTCATAATATTAAGTACATTTATTTATTTAATTACATACAAAAATTATATAAAAATTGTGTAAAAAATTTATCTCTATATCACTACCCCTTCTTTAAAATATAAAAAATAAGTACTATTATATTGGAATAGAAGTACTATGTTTTTTTAGTTTTTAATATTTTAAATATATATATAATTTGTTAGGAAAAGTATTTCTCAATTGGATTTTTTAAAAATTAGAAAAAAAAATCAAAAATCACCTTGTTTCAATAAATTTCTTTGGAGAAACACTAATTAACTTATTTTTAAAGTAAAAATGAAATGATATAGATTTCTCTTCTGGTGCTTAATAAGATAATTAGTTTTAGAATAATGATAAATAACACTAAAATTTAAGTTGCATCATTTAAAATATTAACAAATAGATTTTATATTATTTACTAATTGATTCTTTTTATTTTATTAAGGTTTGTATATAATATTACATGTATTAATTTATTTAATAAAATAATTTATACCACATCATTAGTTTTAGATTTTAATCTTAAAATTTCCTTTTAATTTTTTCAATGTCCAGCTTGTAAATATTAACATTATATGTTTTTAATTAATATTTTATATATTTTTGGACAATAAAAAAATAAAAAAAATAAAGAAAAAACTCCCAAATCCACCCCTCAAATAGAGGGTAGGGACAAACCCATCGCTAAAAAAATGCAACGATAAATTACTCTTCTAAATTATAAATCGAGATAAATTACTCATTTTTTAATATGTGACGTCAAAATTCTATTTACCATGTAAATATTTTTTAGTGGAAAGTTAATAGATTAGACTAAACTAAAATAAAAGTAAAAAATAATAAATGAATTTAAAAGTATTTAAAGATGATAGACGAAATAAAAAAATACAAAAATTACTAAATTATTTATCAAATTAAGTCTTTCAAGAATATCATTAATTATATATATATATATATATATATATGGATCTCTAAATTTTTAGAAAGAACA